GTATGATATTACCATAATATTTACAAATAAAAATGTATGTAATTTATAGTTACTCAGTGTTTATTATAAATCGTTACAGACGAGGGAATGTACGAATTTTTGAAGCGATTTGTCCGACAATTAATTGGAACGAGTTTATTCGATGTGCAGTCCTAATGCTTTCTATCAACTGTCATGTATTTTATTTCAATTCAACTTGAACGAGTAGCAATTTGAACACTTGAAACCTTTATTTTGTTAGTCTAGAGCTTGAAATATCCCCGTAACAATACGTGACTGCCAAACTCTCATAATTCTCGTTTGAATGCGCCATATTTGCAAGTATTTGATGAAAAATAAATGAAGCATTAAGTAATACACAATATCCACACTCGTAGGAAATTCAGTATGGTATAATACAGTATGGTACAATACGCGTGTAAATAGTACTCAATAGTGAATACTTAAATATTCATTGTATATATGCTGTTCATACACATACAGGGTGTATAAAATAACTGAACAGATTTGAAATTACTCTCAAATTAATCTGTTCAGTTATTTTATACCCCCTGTATAAAATAAATTGAGCGCTCTACAGGATGAGCCATTGCCACTTACGCATTGCGCACGCTCACTGCTTGCAGTTTGAGCGTTCTGGCATGGTTTTGATGTCCCACATTCGTGAGGCATCAAAGGTAACTGTAAATAGCAGCTACTTTCGTCATCCTGCTCATCAGCACTACTCTGATGAGGCTCATCAGGCCGAAACGGTACCGCGTCTGTACCAGGGGCGGATCTAGGGGAGCGCTAGCAATTAACATTCCAATCGAACTGTAGTCCAGTGATCAAATTTCATACAGTGGTTGAGCCGACGAGCTTAGTCAAGTCAATGAGCAGCTGACATACGCAAAGTTGGTCAGTCAAAAAGTCAAAATTCAGTGTTCTGATTGGTCTAGACGCTTATTGCCATGGAAACAAGCGATTTTTTGCGATTTTGAATGACCTGTGGGGAGTTCTGACCGATTTACAAAAGTCAGGGGCGCTTCATTAGTCGGAATATCATTAATACTTGACGCGTGGTAAAGTCTTTCCGAGCGCGCGCTCATTCGAAGTGTCATGTTGTAGCTTTGTCAAAAGATTCAATTTAAAGATATCTACGGAAA